CATCCTGAGAGTCACCAAGTAGCTTTGAAAACTGGCGCGCACAGCCTATTAAATTAATTACCTTTCGAATCATTTATTAAGCAAGCAAGAATTGACACTGACCATCTGAGGCACGTGGATGTAGGAATTTATTTTGCAAGCAGCCGGCTGCCCAGAAGACATCCTGTAGCGAGGAAGGAAGAGGTTTTGACTGGCATTCTCTTGGCACAGAGCGCACTCTAAAACGCTGACAGGCCTCTGCAGCTCCCTAAGGCTCCCTGCTGCCACGTTCCGGTATGCAGCAGCCACGTGGCACACAACAGCAGAACACGCTACAAATGCGCCGCCAGATGGCGGACCAAACCCGCGATCCTCCCCTCAGGTCTCCGGTGCTGGGCGGCTTACACTCCCCAGGGCTTCTACTTTCCGCGGTCTCGGTGTCTTGCGATTCGCGGCCTCGGTGGGGCGCTCTGGACCAGGGCCCGTGCTGCTCTGCCTCTGAGACCGGTTCTACATCGGAGTCCTCCACGCTTGCCGGGGTCGCAGTTCGCCCTCGTCCCTCGTGGAAGGCCCGCGGGGAGTCCGGCTCGCTGGAAGACTCGGTCCTCACGTCGGATCCCGACAAGTCACCCTGGAGACATGGAAGCGGTTGCTCGAGATCGTCACCTCTGTCGGAGCGGATCCCTCCTAGGACCGGATAGAAAGGAAGAGGCCACGGCCCACGTTCTTCCGAGAAGACGGGGAGCAGAGGTTCGGTCTCTGGCGCCACCGGTGCGGAATCCCAGGCCTGCTTCACGTGCACGGACCAGAAAGTCGGCTCCATCGCTCTTGCAGCAGCTGCAGCGGGAGGTCAGCAGCCTGTGCACAGTGCGGGCTGCAGATTCTTCTGCAGGCTCAGGCCCTGGGTATTTGTAGTCTTCCAGGGGGGGTGGGGTCCGAAGAATTCCCCCACAAGTCCGCCTGAAAACGTCCATTGCCGAAAGCAGTTTTCTGACTTAGCCTCCGAGGTCGAATCACGGAGACTCGCTCGCTAAAAGCGGGTCCAGAATCCCCAAAGCACTGGAATCGCAGTCGCCCTATGGTTTACACAAGTGTTCTGTGTAAGCGGCCTGGTGCTCGAAGGTGGAGCTGCAGGCTGGCATCCTAAGCATTTCTGTTTCTGGGTCGCAATTCTTCATTGGCTGGGCCCACCCACCACCGTGGACCTGAGGTCCCGCGGACTAACCACGGACTGGCACAGATCTCGAGCCCGGTCACAACTCCATTTTGTGTGAGTGAGAATCCGTCAGGCAGGTCTGCAGTGCCGGTTGTTTTGCCCGTGGTACTAGCGCTCGCCTGGTCCGTATGTGCACCAAGAACGGAGAAAAACTGCGAGACTGAGAACGCCATCAGAGACACTGCCTCACTCGAGCCCTGGAACATGCTGTCCCCGAAAAACGTTGACGAAACGAAAGGAACACAGCAAGTATTCCGTCGTCCATACACGGAATTCGTCCTCTTTCAGAAAGCCGCGTTCAGATGTCTTGGGACTCTTTCCCGTCGGGAAAACTTGCATATCGACCTTATCGGTACGAAATCCGTAATGACAGAAATCGGGCGAATTTCCAGCGCTTATAAACGACGGCAAGCAGAACGAAGAGGACCCGAAAACGAATTAAAACCAAGGCGTCCTAACCGCAACTGGGAGTGAAATGTACCTGAGGGCCCGCGGCATGACCACCGACTGGCGCAAACTCTCAAGATGGGTAACAACCCCGGAGTGTGAGAGTGAGAAGCCTTGGAGGTCTGGTGTCTTGCCAGCGGTACAAAAGCCACAGCTCCCCTGCGAACCGGGAAAAGAAGGCCAGAGGGCAAAGGCCACAGGAGACCCTGCAGCACTTGAGACCTGGTCAGATGAACGACAGGAAGGCAGAGGAGGGGGTGATACCGTCGTGAAAACACCGAACTTTCCGTCATCCAGTCGGTCGGGCACGGATGTCTTGGGACACTTGTCCGGAGAAAACGTGCCTTGGCCATTGGCAGTCGGCAATGAATCTGCTAACGTAACATATTCGAAGTTTCATCGTTTAGAAACAAGGGCGAGTAGAGCTTAGAGGACGCGAAAACGAACGGAAACCTCAGCGTTCTGACCGCGTCGGGTGCGCACTCGCACTGGGGCGCCAGACGTTTCTTTCAGCGTTTCGCTCGCGCCATGGTGTTCGTGGTTCAGGTGGAATGTCGCCAAGTCCTGCCTGGCAGGCCGGATTCCGTCTGCAACACGAAAGGATCGAGGCTGAAAATCACGGACGCGGTTTGAGATCGGACTGCAGCCCGGCCTGCTGACCGTCGTCAGTAGGAAGGAAGTCCGCTCTCTGGAGGAATCGCGGACACGAGCGCATCACCATCAGGCAAAACCGCCAAATGAAGCTGTAGCACCGGGAATCGCCACTGAGCCCTTTTCTGGCGCCACGGCGACCCCTGCGGCGAAGAATTGTCGGGACTGCAGCTCGGAGACGGGGCTGCGGATCGGCTTTGGAAGCGTTTTGACTTCTGACTTGGACTTCTTCATTGCCCGAGGCGCCCGCTGTGCCCGCCACCACCGTGGACCCGCGGTGCGGCCGACAAACCGCGGACCCGCGCAAGTTCTCAAGTTCTGACCCAACCCTGGAGGGCGCGAGTGAGAAGCCCTCAGGCTGGCTCTGAGCCTTGACCGCGGTACAGGCGCTCCCCAGGGATGTGGTATCAGCGACGCGAAGGGAGAAATAACGGCGAAAGACCCCCGGAGACAGCGACGCGCTCGAGCCCAGGACCGTGCTGTCAGGAATACCAATACACAATAAAAGGAACGCAGCCGCGACGGATTTCGGTCCTGGAAACCCTGCCTTTGTCCTCTTTCAGGCCGGGAACGAACTTCAGGGGACCCTTGCCTGGTGGGAAACGTGCATTTCGACGGCATCGTAGGAAATCCGCTAACAGACAACGGACGAATTTCCAGCGTTTAGAAACGACGAAGAGCTGCACGTAGACGAACCGAAAACGAACCGCAGACCCGGTGTCCTGACCGCACATGGTGCAACTCGGTGTCAGGCTTTTCTCGCGGCGTTTCCTCACGTCCTACAGTTCGTGTTTCGTGGTTCGAGGTTATGGTGGAATCCTGCCGCAGTCTGCCTGGCAAAGCCAAATTGTGGCCGCTATAGGAAAGAACGAGGCAGAAAACCGCGGGCCCGGTTTGAAATCGCGGTCCGGGCCTTGTAACCGCCCATCGAATCGGCTGGAAGGGCGAATCCCGGGCACGCGCGGATGAACGAACGACAAAACCGCAGGATCTGGCTCT